TGCTGGTAATAGCTCATCCAAACTGACCACTCTCCAAGTTTAAATCCAAGTCAAACCAGAACATCTGGGGGGGGGTAGGAAAAAACAAGAGGAAATAGGCTACCTTGCATAATGACTTAGCCACTCCCAGTCTCTATTTAAGCCTAAATTAATAGTATCCAATTTGCAAATGAATTCCAATTCAGCAGTTTCTCGCTGGAGTCTGGATTTGAAGTTTTTTTGTTTTAAGATAGCGACCTTCATGTCTGTGATTGCGTGACCAGAGAGATTGAAGTGTTCTCCGACTGGTTTATGAATGTTATAATTCTTGACATCTGATTTGCGTCCATTTATTCTTTTACGTAGAGACTGTCCAGTTTGACCAATGTACATGGCAGAGGGGCATTGCTGGCACATGATGGCATATATCACATTGGTGGATGTGCAGGTGAACGAGCCTCTGATAGTGTGGCTGATGTTATTAGGCCCTGTGATGGTGTCCCCTGAATAGATATGTGGGCACAATTGGCAACGGGCTTTGTTGCAAGGATAAGACGATGGATTGTGTGGTGTGGTCAGGGTGAAAGCTGGAGGCATGCAGGTAGGAATAGCGGTCAGTAGGTTTCCGGTATAGGGTGCTATTCCTACCTGCATGCCTCCAGCTTTCACTCTGACCACACCACACGATCCATCGTCTACAGCCAAGCTCTGCGATACAACCGCATGGCCAGCAATGCCCCTCTGCCATGTACATTGGTCAAACTGGACAGTCTCTACGTAAAAGAATAAATGGACACAAATCAGATGTCAAGAATTATAACATTCATAAACCAGTCGGAGAACACTTCAATCTCTCTGGTCACACAATCACAGACATGAAGGTCGCTATCTTAAAACAAAAAAACTTCAAATCCAGACTCCAGCAAGAAACTGCTGAATTGGAATTCATTTGCAAATTGGATACTATTAATTTAGGCTTAAATAGAGACTGGGAGTGGCTAAGTCATTATGCAAGGTAGCCTATTTCCTCTTGTTTTTTCCTACCCCCCCCCCCAGATGTTCTGGTTTAACTTGGATTTAAACTTGGAGAGTGGTCAGTTTGGATGAGCTATTACCAGCAGGAGAGTGAGTTTGTGTGTGTATGGGGGTGGGGGGGATGTGAAAAACCTGGATTTGTGCAGGAAATAGCCCAACTTGATTATCATGCACATTGTGTAAAGAGTTGTCACTTTGGATGGGCTATCACCAGCAGGAGAGTGAATTTGTGTGGGGGGTGGAGGGTGAGAAAACCTGGATTTGTGCTGGAAATGGCCCAACCTGATGATCACTTTAGATAAGCTATTACCAGCAGGACAGTGGGGTGGGAGGAGGTATTGTTTCATATTCTCTGTGTATATATAAAGTCTGCTGCAGTTTCCACGGTATGCATCCGATGAAGTGAGCTGTAGCTCACGAAAGCTCATGCTCAAATAAATTGGTTAGTCTCTAAGGTGCCACAAGTACTCCTTTTCTTTTTAAGGAGGATAAAGGAAACCTAAATTCCAATCATTTGCACCTCTGCAAACACAATGAAGGCAGTGGGTTGCAACAGATGTCATGATGGCCATAATCTGAAGACAGAGGAGTTACACAAATGTAGCTAGGTTATAATTTGGGCATGCAGAATTTTTATTATTGGTAAAGACCCAAGAGAAAGAAAAACTTATTTTGACTTTCAGAATGCAAGTAGAGTTTGCAGAGGTGGTGTTAGAAAACCTCTTAACTTGTAAACTAATAACACTTGTGGTGAAATCCTGGCCCTATTGAAGTCAATGGTAAAACTTCCATTGACTTCAGTAAGGCCAGGATTTCCCACTTGATTTGGCTTCATGGAGAGAGAAACATGGAAACTCATAATGCCATTTGGTCAGAGTGGAACCATGCAATCAGAATCTATCAATTTGTATCAAACTGACAAAGGCTCTGATACACTAAGGTACTTAGACACTACTGAGATCCACACAGTCCCCAGTCAGCGGCCACTTAACCCTGTAGGTGCCTAAACTCACTCAGTGCTTAAGTTTTCAGGGTAAAAGTTCCCTGGGCACCTAAGTTTTTATTTTTGGGCATGTACACTGCTGCCTCACTCTAGGCATCTCAATGCCTATCTCCCATTAAGCCCCAGCGCAATCCAGGAACCAGGGGAAGACAGGCAGGGGAGCGCCTAACTCACCAATAGGGCCTGATTTAATAAGTGTGTTCAGAGGCCACCTACTGGATTGGGTCCCATTAGAAAATCTTGTAGGGGCAGCAGTGATACCACGCCCCCGCCCAGCTTATCACTTTTACCTCAGTGGTTAGAGCGCTCAGCTGGGATGTGGGAGACCAGGTTCAATTCCCCTCTCTACCTGAGCTGGGGAAAGGATTTGAACAGGGTTCTCCCACATGACTCAGAAGAGTGCTCTAACCATTTAACCATGGAAGATTCTGACGGGGGGCTGCCTCAGTCTCTCTCATTGAACCTGTGCCACTATGGATAAAGAGTCACTGGAGCAGGGGAACTGGACCCAGGGTGTCCCATCTCCATGGGCAGCGGGTGGAGCCCCCCTCCGGGGAGGCTAGCCCCGGCTCCACCACTTCCACCTACATGCCCCCCACGGCCAAAGCCCTGAGACCATCTTCCCCCTCCCCCTACAGCCAGAGCCCCGAACACTTGGCTGGAGGAGTCCCAGGCCAGTTGCAGCTGCACCGCACCTCCCCTCCTCAGACCCCAAGCCATCCAGGAAAAAGCATTTCAGGTCCAGAAGAAGCTTCTGATATGCCCCATACAGGTTCTGGGGCAGCTGAGGAGGCAGTATGTGCTATTCAGCTTCCTGGGTTCATCAGTAATCTCCCTGGAGCCTAAGGAGATTACTGATTCACCCAGGAAGCTGAATAGCACATACCGCCTCCTCAGCCACGCTGGAACCTACATGGGGCATAATAAATCAAAAACTGCTCCCCAAAACCCTGCAACCACAGGTCTGATGGCCCCAGGGGAGTCTGCCTCCCCTGTCCTATTATACTTGCCGCCCATGCCCATCTCCCAGGTTGGTGCCCTAACCACAGGATTATAGAGTCATTCTCAGTCTCTCTTTTTCTCTGGCCCAATGGCTAGTTAAGTATTTATACACAGTGGAACAATTTCAACAAGAGAATTGAGGGAGCCCTGCATCAGACTATCCCATAATTCATTCTCCTGAGAGGTCGGTGACACCCCATGTTCAAATAATTTCTCTCCCCCCTCTCCCCTGGGCAGAGATGTGAGAATTGTACCTGGGTCTTCCAAATCTCTCTGAGTGTTCTAATCATTGGCCTAAAAGTCATAAGGTGGGTGGCGGCAGCACCATCACCACCTCCTCCTCTGCCAACGCCCATTTTGTGTGGAGCGAATGACTTAGGCCTCTAAACCACCTGACTCCAGGAGAAGAGCTGCTGCCTGTGGATTGCTAGGAAAGATAGGTACCCGCCTGGAGTTAGGCACCTAGTAGCGTGAGGGGGTGGGGCTTAAGATACACAACTCTCTCATCAGCATCTCCCATGGGCTAGTTTAAATATGGAGCCACATCAAGTGCGGTTTTTTGTGGATTGCATTCTTAGTCACTTCTCTCTCCCTATTCCTTGTATAGGGAGCCTAAGTGGCTAACTCAGGCTTTGTGGATCGCATTGTTGTTCCAGTGATTTTTTTTGGTGTATAAAAGTTAGGTGTTGCTACACTCAGCATCACAACACCTAGGTCTTTGTAGATCTGGGCCACAGACCACAAATAAAGCTGCCCGAATACCATGTATATATAAGAATATAAATTAAAGAAATTCACTTCTTCTAATAAATCTTTTTATGAAATTTGCAAAAGCCAATTAATAGTGCCTAATCCAAGCTTCTATTTGGGTCACCTTATATTTCTTTAAAAAGAAAGACATGAAATTAAGAGTTTTAGTCTTATTCATCTGGATAGGCCATTCCTCTTGGGTATTCCATGTCTATTCTGGCTCACTTAAAACTCTGTCTGTGAACATAACATACCAAACAAATATTTTAGATTTTGGGATATCAAGATTTGGCACATTGCAGCTGAAAATATGTGCCTTGTGTGGGCACAAAAAGAGAGAATGTTGATACCCACAGCAATTTATTTTTAACCCTATTCCTCTAATTCTTTCAGATCCCACTAGACAACTTGATTGGATACAAATTTTATTTGAAAGCATCATTGAAAAAGGGGCCAGAATCCTCGAAAAATGGAATTTTGGTTTCCAGATTTAATTATAAATAATGAGTCAATACTGCAATCTTCAGATAAATAAAGATGATCCTACAATATACTATATTTAATATCAAAATATATATTTATTTAATGTGAAATGTAATGCTATATAAAATAAGTATTAAAACTGTACTAATTAATATGATATTACACTAATATTTACCATATTGTAAGACATTACATAGCACACATGCTTTACAAGTCTCTTACCCCAATTTCCCAACAGAACCTACCTGAAGTTCCAATTTATTACTCATGCCTAACTCATGTCAAAACTGTCAATATGAAGTATGTCTTAATACACAATTTTAAGTGGTATCTAAGAGTTAAGATTGTCAAACTATTTTAAACAGAATGGTTAATTGGTTGCTAGGAAGCAAAGTGGATTAGTATATTAGCCTTTTTTTTTCCCCTTTCTGAAGACCAATGTTCAAACCCTCAAAAGATCCTGATAGAAGCTTTTTCAACACTTTTGAACCTCATAAAGCCTCCAAAGAATTCAGCTAGGAGAAAACATACAGAAAACTGCTCTTGAGAAGACAAGTATAGAATAGCAAGAAGTGATGGTGGTAAGGTCCTGGGTGCATTTGTGAAGTTGCGTGGGAAATCTGTATAATGCCTACCTATATTCTGCCTGGCTCTAATAAATGAATTGTTCACTTTCACAACCACTAAATCTTTTCATACCTATTAAGAAAAAAATTAAGAAACACCAATATGAAAACTACAACATTACCATATTATTGTAATCTGAAGGATCGTATGTTTTCTCCTTAAAAACTTTACAGCTTTCTATAAATTCTTCATTCATCCTGTAGATTTGTTCACTCAAAGTTTTCCCCTTGACTCCACCAAACTCCAGCTTTTCCAGCTTTTGAAATTCCAACATGATAACAAAGATATCCTAAATCAGTGAAAAACATAATTAACTATGTACCTTAACACAAAATAGTGGAAACCATCATATTGGAGACATTTTTGCCTAGTTTTATGCATTTTGACCAAACCAACAAACAAAAAACTGAGTTAAAATCTGCACCACCTTGAGTAACCAGGATGTAAAAAAGGAAGGTCCAGATTCTCAAGTGACTCCATGTAGACACAGGGTTCATCCACGCAGAGAGTCACGCACAGGATTAGAACTCAAGTGGAAACAAATTAAAATTATCCAATCCAAATATATAACTGTAAAATTTGTTTTAATTTCATCAGCATCCAAGCAGAAAGAATTAGTGGAACTTAAACACTTTCATGCAGAACGTATTGATTTCTTGTCATTATGCGCAACAAAATATTAACATGAAAGTTAAACTTAAATTTTATTCAGAGAAGTAAGGCTGAACCTAGTGTCACCTTCTTGCTAGTCTGTGCCAAATTAAATTAAATTTCTATATTCTCTGATTTCAAATGAAGGAAATAAGTATCTTGTGTCCCAGAAGGATTAAGGGAACTGTTTGATAATGTATTTAGAAATGCACGCTGTGACGGGCTCGGTCACAGAGACCCCCTTGGGACTGTCACCGATGTGCTGAAAGTACCTCTGAGCCCCTTTTCTGTGATGGCTTGGGACTCCAGACATAGAAATAATGCATGCAAACAAATATGATGAACACACTTGGTAGATCATAAGCTTTGTAATGACACCTTACAAGAGACCTTTTGCATGAAGCATATTCCAGTTACATCATATTCACACTTCTAAACATATTTCTATAAAACATATGGAATGCAACATCACACCCTCATCCTGAACTTACTGCCAGAGTCCTGGACGCTCTCCATGGTGGAGGCAGTACATGTAAAATACCTGTTTGTCTCTCGTTACACACCCTCCCAGTACCTTTAAACCATATGATGTCATTCATGGGTGTCCTAGCAAGGTTTGCGGTTCCTGGTCCCCGGGTGCCTGAAAACATGTTGGAGTGTAGTATTGCTAGCAGAATGCAGGTAGCCATATCTGTTAAAGTGTAGGTGTCTTGGCATTTAACCACCAATGCCATGAGGTGATGTGCCTCAGTTTCCCCTTCAACACAATAGTGTAGGCCTGTTATGCTTTTGCTGCTATGCCAAGCTTCCAGGTATAAGATGAAAAGCAACACATTTGTGGGACTGTTTTGTCACCATCCCAAGCATGTATAAAAGTTTTTTCCAAAAATCAGGTATGTTACACATTTTTAAAAGGGTTTACCATTAGCATCAACTTCTTTGTCTTGACCCATAGATGAAGTAGAAAAAGACACAAGATTAACAGCCAATTTATGACGGACAGACTTTGTTCACATAGCCTGGCTTGCCCGGTATCTACTGTATTTTCCAATCCCTTTGTGTACCATGGTAGGTGCTCAGACACACATTCTCTTGCCTCTTTGGAGAAAGCTCTTAATTCAGGCATGTGTTTGAGGTTTTGGCAAGGAAAGGGTGCACTACAACCATGCCTGCACTTGGCCCCTCCCTCTGGAATCTCTGTGTTGATTTTACCCACTTGTGAAGTTTTTCTTCCTCCTGCCTTGAAGAGACAGTTATTTCTTACAAGCATAGCAGGAACATCTTTTAATGGAGTGCTTTGGATTGGTAAGATCCCCTTGGCCATCCTACTCTCTGTTCCCAAAAGGTCAGCTGGGACGACTCTCCCCTCCAGGACATCTGACCCCTAGTTTTCCCTTAAAACCTGATCCACAGGTGAGGGGTCTGGCATTTCAGATGCAAATCCTTCACCCTCCTCCTGGGGAATAGCCTCCCTACAAAAGGTGGGCAGACCCTCCTGTTCCCCCTCACGTTCCGTCTGGACTTTCCTCTCTGGGCTCCCCTCTGAGCAAGACATACCTGTGTCCCCCAAAAGGGAATGTGACCCTGATCCAGTCATGGGCTCACAGCTATGACAGACCCTTCACTGGCCAACAAAATCCCCCCTACGTCCCCCTTCACTCAGGTTGGGGCTTGCTTCCAGCTACAGAGTCCGTGGGGTCTGTTCCCACTGCAGCAGTTACCAGGATCCCAACTTCCACCTGTAGGACACCTGTCTTTGTGCACCTCTTTCCTTCTTAGCAATTTGCAACCTGTGCTGTTCTAGCTTCTTCTGGGCTTCACTCTCACCTATTTTGATTACTTTTCTGTCCCTATTTCCTTACGGGCTCAGAGGTAGTTTCAGCACATCAGGTGACAGTCCCAAGGGGGTCTCTGTGACCAAACCTGTCACACACACTTCCAACTCCCTTCAGGAAGAGAAGAAAACTTGTTTGTCTGGGTATACCGAAAGGAGGACAGGAGACACTTGATATGGATTTAATCAGGCCACAATTTTATCATTAGAGGTGTCTGGGACTACCCAGCAGATAAAAGTGTACAGTGCAGCACGCAACTCCATGTTCATTCAAATAACCACCCGGGACTTCCACCAGCCCCCTTCATTTTCCATCCAGGTCCCCCAGACAACATTGTTTTCAACTACTGGAAATGGCCCACCTTGATTATCACTACACAAAGGTTCCCTCCCCCCACCCCGTGCTTTCCTGCTGGTAATAGCTCACCTTACCTGATCACTCTCATTACAGTGTGTATGGTAACACCCATTGTTTTATGTTCTCTGTGTATATAAATCTCCCCACTGTATTTTCCACTGAATGCATCCCATGAAGTGAGCTGTAGCTCACGAAAGATTATGCTCAAATAAATTTGTTAGTCTCTACGGTGCCACAAGTCCTCCTTTTCTTTTTGCGGATACAGACTAACGTGGCTGCTACTCTGAAACCTGTCATGGCTTGGACGTTACCATTCACCCCCCCCCCCCCGCCCTCGTAGGATGGTTAAGGTGGGCTATACGAAAGAGGGCTTGGCTCCCTGCCATACCAATCACAGGAGCCCTAAACTCCCTCCAACATGTTCTGTTCCTTTAACCAGCACCTCCTTTTTAAGGTCCTTTACGAGGCCATTTATCTGGTCACTGGAGTATCCGCAGTGGACATCCGCCCCACACGTCCCGCTGTAGGGGAGGCAGAAAAAATCCACTTCACCTAGGCCAATCTGGTGGTCAGAGAAAAATTCCTTCCGAGCCCCCCTAAAAGAAGTGACTAGCGCAATGCCCACAGCAGGTCCTGACCAAACCTGATATTCGCCACCTCAAGGGGAGGGAGGAAGGATGGGTGCTGACTTGCCTGCTGCCTGGAGAAAGGGCTTTAATGCCTGGGCTTGCACCTTTTCAACCTTTTGCCCTACCTTCCCATGGGATGAGTCAGTGTGCCAAGCTGACCCCCACCCACCTTTTTGCTGCCGTTTTTGAACTCCTCCCCCCTCCCCCACCCCACTCAAAGCACTGCTCCCTTCCTCCAGCAAGCCCGGACACTGTCCCCCCTGCTTCAGATGTGGTGCAGGCATTCTCAGATAATCTATGCTGCTTGAAAAATGGATAAATATAATTGCAAATTGTAAATAATACCTCAATTTTCACTACACGGTTGAGAAATAGGTCAAATCTGGCAAAGACCATATTAGATTGGAAATCCCATGGTTTAAATTCCTTGCCATTGGTGAAGTAACTTGCCAACTTCTCTCTGTGGCTAAAGAAGAAATTCTTAAAGCTCCTTAAGGTATGTACAGCTATTTGCACATGTTCTAATGTTTCTTCAATTTCTCCTTTCAAAAGATCTTGTGGGGAGAGGTATGATCTAGCCTACAATTTAAAAAAAGATAGGGGAAGAACAAAAAAGTCACTGCTTATCAAAGCTAGCCATAACTTCAGTCAAAAAGACACTTACCCTCTATACAAGTGCTAACAGTATTTAAATTAATTATAATATTTATATATTAATATATTAATAATTAAAAATTGTTAGGCCTAAAAATTCTAGCTTGTCAGTTTTCCCAAGTTACATTTAAGATGACTGAAACAAAAACAGGTTTTAAAAATCAATATTTGCTGCAGTATATCATCTCCTCAAATGTCAAATTTGTCATGTAACCCATGGAATTAAGCCAGCCCTGGTGTGCTATCTTTGTACACAGTCACAGTGCAGTGGTTTGTTCATAGTGGGGGGAAAAACACAAACAAAAACAGATCGGCAACACTTGGGGAAAATTTTACTTAGTGTTAGAGACGGGTTTATCTGTTTATTGCTAAATTCCTATTTTAGCTCTCTAATCTTTATTACACATACTGTTAGAACTGCCAGCCTGAGACTGGTATGACTTTTTTATTTTGTAAGTTACTGGACTTTATATGAAAAAATAAAAAAAAAAAAAGAGGAGGCTCATTCATGGACTCTTTAGCTATTCAAAATGAAAACCAGAAATAGCTGTGTCATAGGAACTATTTTATTATAGGTGGATCTGGCAGCACCACCAATAATCATGTTGCCCAACACTTCCCATTATTAGACCCTGCTACTTCTAACTGTACAAAACTTTACTTGTTCAAGATGAAGCTTTCCATATCAGGCTCAGACTGAATGTTTATTCATTTCTTCAAGTTCTGCAAAAAAAGGTTCTGCCATTTCTAAGTGTGAAATAAAGACATTGTTTTATTCATGTTAAAAAATTCTTACAAGTGTTTCATTGAGATGCTCTTGCACTTCTGTTCTTTAGAGCAGGGACCTGAAATTTGGCAACGGAAGTCACCAAGTTGTCTTTTGTTTTCTCCCTGAGAATGCAGCCAAATCTGACCGAATTATAAACCTTGGAAAATTGCCATTTGCACATGCTCAGTAGAGCCTTTGGAGAAGGAGGAAGGTATCCTGACTCAAATGCAGAGGGTTGAGAAGCAGAGCAGCAGAGGCAGGAAAAGGGATAAGAGAAGGGAGAACAGGAATAGGTCAGGGGACAGGAGCAGAGAGAGAGAGGGACAGGCTGGGTGCGGAGCGAGCAGCAGGGTCTAACCACTAGAGAACACTCCCCTCAAGACTAAATTGAACCCAGAACTCCTCCAACCCAAAGTTCCAACTGTGCACAAAATAGTTAATGATCATGTAATTAAAGGGTGTCATAGCACAAACACACAAAGGTTGCACGAGCAACCTTAATTCTGATATTTCCTAACTTTTGAATGCTTGACTTTGCAACCGTAACATTCTAACATAGCTTTTGTAATAATTTTGCATATAGACTCCGGATAGAGTTACAGAGGTTTCAAGATAGTAGATTTCTAACTATAAATATTTTTAAATACGAAGTTAAGCAAATCATGTAATTATCTATAGTTGAATTTTTCTTTAACAGCAAAAATTGCAAGGCAAAAAACTTTCTTTGTGAAATAGAAAGCAATTTCCAAAGAATGTAAGAAATAATTTAACAAAATTGTAGCCTAACGCAAAGGTTGCTTATCTATTTTGCTCATTACAATAGTGACCTGGACTAAGCCTTTACCAATGAGATTTCTATTACATTTAAAAAGTTATTCTCAAAATGCCCCATTGAAATTAATCAGAGTTTTGTCTGAGTATTAAATATGAGATGAGGCTCTTTTTACAAATTTACTGGCTTTTTCAACAAAACATAGCTAAGTTTAACTATCTTATAGACAGCATTCCTGTATATGACTGTTTATTCTCATTGTCTATTTTCATATTAAGTACTTTACTCTAGTGAACCATTCAGTACAACCAATCTAATCAAGGCTTCACTAGGCAGATAGCAAATATATTTAGTCTCTTGAGGTTATTACATAACTGTGTATGGTTACATTCAAAGCCCCTGAAAAAGTATTTAATTATTAGCATTACTCTATTAAAACTGGAACGGTACAATTAATTAATAACACAGTAAATATATTATTACTGACTCCTTTAATGGCTAAAGTATTGCATGAAATAACTAGATAAAAACATTTTAAATACAGAGACAGAAGCCCATTTTGACTTTCAGTTGACTTGAGTAATATAGGATCAGTGCATGGTAAAAATATCTACCTTTTATGGAAGCAAATATACTGTTAAAATAAATAAAATAACAATAATAAATAATAATAATTTGTACTTCAATAGCTCCTTCCATCAGATTACTTCAAAGTGCTTCACAAGCATTAATGAATTAAGTCTCACAACATCCCTGTGAGGTATGCAAGTATTAGGATCTCTATTTTACAGATAATAAAACTGAAGCACAGAGTGGTCAATAAAGCAGCTCAACATCACAAACTGAGTCAGTGACAGAGTTTGGAAATAACCCTGATATTTGGACACCCAGTCCTGAATTATTAAAAAAAAATAGATGGGACTGCTGTAAAACAGTACCAGGAGACAGTAGTCTCACAGTTAGACAGGAGACTGGGTCCTACTGTCAAAAAGCAATCCAATACCTACACTGATCCACAGACCTACCACTGACCCATAAGTTTCAGTACCACTTTGGGCACTCAGTTTCCACAACAGTAAAATGGGGATTATAACGACAACTGGGGTGTTGTAAAAATGATGCAGCTGACATCTGTTAAGAGAACTAACAGCCTTGGATGAAAATTCTCTGTCTATATATAAGAGTAAAGCATTATTGTTTTTACCTGGTCAGGCTTATTCCAATTTGATGCAAACTTGTAATTAATGGTTGTTATATCAGATCTAAGAACGGAATGTATTAAATTTGTATACTTCAAATGAGAAGTTACCCACACAACAGACTGGGAAAAACCCGGCTCTGCTGCTATCTCACTTTTATTTTTCCCTCACTGCTCCTCTCTCCCAAACAGAGAACACATTATACTCCCACCCCCAGTTATTTTTCATTATTTAACTCCACAACTCTCCATGCCTCTACTTTGCAGCCAGCATAGAAGTGGCCATATATTCTTTGAGGTTTCCTTTCAAGTCATTCAGCATTACTTCTAATTGGTTCCAAGTGTTGCTGCCTATTCTGTCAGAGATCAGAATTAAGAAGTAAAACAGAATCACACCTACATCATTAACACTAGTCTACTAACAGTTCTCCTTTTAAAATAGAATCTGTCTTCTATGTTTGGAGCATTCATATATACTGTGGTTTCTGTGGCCTCTGCTTTTGTTTTTTTTTTTTCTGTGGCCTTTGGCATGTTTTTTATTTTAAAAAACATGTTGGTAGCAATAGTAAGACTAGATTAATTACTCGGTAAATACAGAATAAAAAGGGAGAATGTAGTAATAGTTACTGCAGGAAATCTAGAGCATTCAGGAAAGCTTCAATGGAAACATGAACATTCAAACTTTGTAACTCAGCCTTCCAGAATCCAGCATAAACATAGTAGCAGGGACGGAGATGGCATGGAAAAATGAAGGCATGACAAAATGGGGACAGGCCACTGAAAAACCTAATCTATAAATAAAAATAGACAGGGAATGCTCAGTAGCATAGTGTTGTTTAATGTGGGAGACAAAGTAGATTTCTGGAGCCTAATTCTCTTCCAAAGGCTTGGCTACATGACTGCATACTGGCACGGCAACCACTGTTACCTTCTGTCACGCTGGTATCACATCTTGCATTCACAAAAATAACTGTATATTTTCTTCTGGGGTACAGGTGCTCACACCATTTTTTTCCTGAGAAAAGCTGAGCACCACTACAATTCCACTGCAAACATGAAATCCAAATATCGCCGCAGCAACAGTATACTCGGTCCTCCCAAAGCTGTCTCCGAGTGGTCCTGCTCCCTGTTCAGCAAAAACTCTGACAAGTCTCTGTCTTTATGGCATAAATCAGGAGTAATGTCCAGCGTGAAAGGAAAATCAGTTCCTTCATTTCTCATTCCCTGGCCAGCAGGAACTTAGAATGCTGTGGCAGCTGTGCACCCATGCTCTGAAGTAGGCTAGGGAGTGTCAGTTTCTCTTATGTTTCTCAAAGGTGACTTTTTTGGCCAATTAACAAATGCTGTTGACTGTTTAAGGGAGTCCTGGCCCTATTTGCTTGGCCAGAAGAACAGTGTCCACAACACTGGACCTCAGGAAATGGCTACGTTTAAAAGTACCACTATGAACACATGGCTTAGCTCCACTGAAATATGTTAGGCTAGGAGAGATGTTTGAATGGAAAAGTGGGAAAGGCCAGTATGTTTTACATTATTGGGGCTTTCCCTGCTAAATAGGGAGGGTTTATTAATTGTGGGAATATAGAAAATGCAGCATTTCAAAGTCACTCACTGACAATTTGCTTGCCAATTCCATAGTTTCTTGATCTGAGTAGCTTTTATCACATGTTTGCAATTTGATAAAGCAAATAGCGGGTGTAATGATAACTAAGAAAAGAGACATTAGACCCACCTGGCAACATAAGAAACAACTTGCTGAGCACCGCATACTTTTTGAAGAATACTTTTTCTTCTTTATGCAGAGATTATTGCATTTTTTAAACAAAGAACTTATGAAATGGCAGCACAGATAGTTCTAATTATTTGGCTGTGCTGCAGGTTTAGTAGCAAAATGGTAATTGGAGATCTCTGCGGAAACATGATTAATCTTCTAATTGTGCTATTGTCATAAAAATAAAGGGAAGGGTAAACACCTTTAAAATCCCTCCTGGCCAGAGGAAAAACCCTTTCACCTGTAAAGGGTTAAGAAGCTAGGATAACCTCGCTGGCACCTGACCAAAATGACCAACAAAGATTCTCTCTCTGTGTGTGATGCTTTTGCCAGGAACAGAAAAGGAATGGAGTCTTAGAACTTAGTAAGTAATCTAGCTAAATATGCGTTAGATTCTGTTTTGTTTAAATGGCTGATAAAATAGCTGTGCTGAATGGAATGGATATTCCTGTTTTTGTGTCTTTTTGTAATTTAAGGTTTTGCCTAGAGGGATTCTCTATGTTTTTAATCTGATTACCCTGTAAGGTATTTACCATCCTGATTTTACAAAGGTGATTCTTTTACTTTTTCTTCTATTAAAATTCTTCTTTTAAGAACCTGATTGCTTTTTTCATTGTTCTTAAGATCCAAGGGTTTGGGTCTGTGTTCACCTATGCAAATTGGTGAGGATTTTTTAATCAAGCCTTCCCCAGGAAAGGGGGTGTAGGGTTTGGGGAGAATTTTGGGGGGAAAGACATTTCCAAGTGGGCTCTTTCCCGGTTATATATCTGTTAGACGCTTGGTGGTGGCAGCAATAAAGTCCAAGGGAAAAAAGGAAAATAGTTTGTTCCTTGGGGAAGTTTTAACCTAAGCTGGCAAAAATAAGTTTAGGGGGTTTTTCATGCAGGTCCCCACTTCTGTACCCTAGAATTCAGAGTGGGGAAGGAACCTTGACAACTATTTATTAGAAAAAACTAACACATACTAAATTCATTCTCTTTTGTTATTAGCATACTACTTATTGACTGGCCCTTATTTATTAGATACACATAGTTTATGATTTATATTTTGAGCTACCTGGTCAATGAACAGATTGCAGAACTCTTGAAGTAGAACTATTATTCGTGCAGGCACGCTGTAAAACTGGGAGTGACTCCAGATTAGGCAGATGGTGTGAAACAAAGGGGGAATTAAAGCCTGGATCTTGGGGAATTCTGTCTCCTTAAGAAACCGAATGTGTCTTCTCAGGGGTCTCAGGTACAGTTCAATATCTTGGGCTTCCATAAGTGCTGTAAAAAGAAAAAAAGAAAATGCTAAAACTTCAGATATGATTGTTTCTAAATCAGCTTGTTTACATTGAGGAATGAAAAATTATTCTAGTCTAAAAGGAAAATATTTTCAATGTATTACCTGTAAAAATTAGAAGAAGGTTTATCACAGTCAATGGAGGAGATTAACTTTGTAAATTTAATTATAATTTTAATTTTTCCCCACACATATAAAAAATAACAGTTCTTACCCAGGGAGAAATATATGTAGGTTTCTGGGGCATGAGACAGTATTGTAGTGAAGGTATAGAAGCTCAACCACACAGCACAAGGCTCAGACAACTCCCTGTTCACCAGTTCTACTGCTGGGAGTTAGGGATCTGTGCATCACAACTCTTTCTTTTCTGTCTGTTTGTTCCCCCTGCCTCACCCAACCAGCTTGGACTGATGCAGAAGTTACTGCAGACCTACATTTTAAGTAATAGGCATGTGCAATTCCAACAAGTTCTCATGATAGCAAGAGGGACAAGTCAGAGGCCTGTAGTCTTCTTTAAAAATTGTGTTTGCTGGAGAAGCAGCATGTTTCCAAACCGTGTTCAAAGAGGAGTGTGTTTGTGTGTTGCTGTCTATATCAGCAAAATTAGACGGTCAAGAAAGAAGTCTCCCTTCCTATCCCCTTTGCATTAAGATATTAAGGGACACAACATGCCACACCAACATCTTTCTCATGAGCCCAACTGGTAGGATCTGTGACTATCTTTGAAAAGAGAGCAAGCTTTGCCAGTCACATAAGCAGTCCTTTAATACAGGGAAAGGCCTCTGTGACCTTGTAGTCCAGAGGTCTGTAAAACCTCAATGGGATAACAACTGCTGAGGATATTTTCTCCAGAGTAGAGCCCATTGAGTGACACACTATGTGATGGAGTAGGAGCAGCTCTGTAATAATGTATGAATACTGAATGTTGACCTAGTTATTGGGATAGCGTACGAATATATTGGGTTAATGTAATAAGGGGCTGTGAGGGAAGTTAAGCCACTTCATCCCAAACATTTGAAGGATGTTTTGAGACAATGCCATGATAGGAAAAGGCCTGCACAAACCAAAGACCAAAAGGACTACAACAGTTTAAAAAAGGGACTGTTAAGAGATGGGGGAAGTGTTCAGGGGAGCCAGCCTAAGGATGCCATGTTGACACTTCACACTCAAATTGTCAATTCCAGCATGAGGAGATGTACCCACACTACCTCTGATAGAGCCAGTACACAAAAGAGTGTAGCTGCCCCAAATACACACCCATCCAAGATACTATAATATACTCAGGGCAGCTAGTCCCTCCCATCGCTCATGCCGACACAGCTACACTCTATTTTCACTGCACTAGCTCAACAGAACTAGTGCGGATACATCTCCTCAAGCTGGAATTTACACCTTCAACTGGAAGAATAGATATACCCTATATACCACTCAGGTTTCTGAAGAGGTTAAGCCTGCCTAGGTTACTATCAGGGGCTGGAAAGACTTCAGGTAAGATAGACGTGCATGTGGATTGTTGGTTGTTTTAAAATAGTTTTTCTCTGACATTTTGTTCCAACTGTTAAAATAAATTCTGTAGGCGGGCTGTCACACTATATTCACCACTGGTCACGGATACCTAAAGGGAAAAACCGCATGACCCAGAACTGAATTCTGGGTAAGTGCCACAGGCGCCGACTTTCCAATGTGCCGGGGGGTGTTCGATCCCTGGCTCTGCCCCAGGCCCCGCGCCACTCAAGTCCCCACCCGCACCCTGCCTCTTCCTACCCCATTCTGCCACCACCCCGTGCGCACCATGTTCTTGCTCCTCCCCCAGGGAGGAAGGAGGAGCTGATAGGGGGTCTGCCAGTGGGTGCTCAGCACCTACCATTTTTTCCCCTGTGGGTGCTCCAGCCCCAGAGCACCCACAGAGTTGGTGCCTATGGTAAGTGCTATTGTTACGGTCATAAAAAGCAAAGAGGAGCAAACCTACATGTTAGTAGTGAAAAAGGAAGCTAAAGTAGATAAAATGAAAAATTGGAGCTCAAGTTCTTGTTGTAAAAAAAGTGAAAAACAGAGACAAATACAGCCCAAAGGAGTGGTTCTCCAAATGGGATCCTCTTCCAGGCCAGAGTCAGAAACCTTAGCTTGGAGTCAGTTCACCTGATGCTGCACCTCAATATTGAGGGAATCTCAGCAGCCAAGAGGGACATCCTCCTTCAGTCAGCCCTGGAACATGAAGCACATATCACCTTGCTTCAGGGAACACACTGCCACTGACACTTAACTATCAATTCCTAGCTTTGCTGTTGTATCTCAGCTTCGTCATAGGCAATATGGGATGGGATCCTGCATCAGAGAAGGTATTCCAGCAACTCCTGTCTCGTCAGGTACAAATGATGTTATAGAAAGTCAGGCTATAAAAATGAAGGACCTACTCTTTTCCTTTGATTCGCATCTGTCAGCTCAACAGCGATGATGGGGCCAACTGCAGTCTTTAACCACTTTTTATCTTGTACCAGCTACACAGCTTTGATCTTCTTTAAAAATGTTTTTGTTCTGTCATTCTTAACTGTGTCCTCTATCCAACACATCCTTGATCTTCCTCTATTTCTAGTTCCTTGCACTCTGGTACGTATCGCCTTGTATGGTATCCTTTCCGGGTGCTTTCTTGACATATACCCAAACCATTACAGCAACCTTTCTTGAATCTTCTGTAACAGCCTTATTTCTTGCCCTGGCTATTTTCTTATCTCTTCATTTTTTATCTTTTGCAGTCTTGAAATTCTCAGTATTCCCCTCAGCCAGTTCATGTCTGCAGTCAAAACTTTTCATTCATAGGCCTTCCTCATACTCCAGCATTCCTCCCGGTACAGTAGTATCAGCATGACAGTTCTCTCATGTATGCTGATTTCTGTTTTTATAAGAATGTCTTTAGACTTCCAGATGTTGCAGTCTTCTGAATGCAGTAGCATCTAGTCCAATTCTTCTCATGTCGTCTTCACAATTCCCATTCTTCGATACCAGTCCTCCAAGGTACACAAATTTTTCCACTTCATTCTAGTTCTTTGTCTCCGAGTATGATGTTTACCTTTTCTCATATCTTCTGTGGTGGGGGGGGTGCCCCACCCCCATGCCAGATTGGGCTACAACAGGCCAGAGCGGCTGCGCAAGGTGACAGCCAATCAGGGCCAGTATTACAGCCAGCCAATCAGAGCTAGGCTAGGCCCTATATAAAGGCTACCCAGGAAGGGAGCAGGCCTGTCCCTGAGTGAAGACGACCAGCACCCTGGACAGCGCAGTGCTGGGCAGGCTTGGGGGAGCTGAGGAGAGCTCCAGCCCAATACCCGCCAGGCTGCAGGCCCTGATAGAAGGGCCCACAAGATGCAAGCGGGCCAAAGGAGAAGCGGCCCAGGGAGGAGAGGTGAACAAGGGGAGCGAAAGAGGGCAGGGAAGCTGCCGCCAGAGGGTCCCTCTGAAGGGCTGAGTATGGTGAAGGTAGAAAGCCACAGCTTGTCTTACATCCTGTGTACAGAGACTGGTCTCTTCTCTGCATAAACAGGACTTGGGATAAAATATCGGCAGTTGAATGTCCTGATTGATGTGGAACTCAGACTTTAGAGAGGAAGTGAGGGTGGGGATACAATGTAACTTTGTCCAGATACAACACACCACCATATGTTGTGGGTCAGCCCTGAGGACTCTCAGTTCCCCTACCCTTCTGGCCAATGTGATTGCCACGAGGAACGATATCTTGAAGGACAGATTGAGTAGTGATCAGGCTTGAAGGGAGGGTCTCCTTACATATTAAGCACTAAATTGAGGTCCTAGGATATGACATTATCCTACACTGAAGGGAACCGGTTAAGGAGGCCCTTAAGGGATCTTGCTGTCATAGGATGTGTGAAGCCTGACAAATCTTCTACTGGTGAATGGAATGCCATGATGGCATCTAAATAAAACTTGAGCTCAGGGACAGTCCCATAGATTTCATGTTTAATAAGTAGTCGAGGATGGATGCCAGGGGAAAAATAGTAGGAGATATAGTGTTTGAAGTGCTTCCACTTCTGTAGTCAAGTCCTATATGTGGTAAGTTTCCTGCTATTTAAAAGAACCAGCTGGACTTCGGGAGAATGCTCCTGCTCTAGGCCCAAGAACCATTGAGGAGCCAGGCCTTGAGGTGCAGGGATGATATATTGGGGAGCGTTATGGAGTCTGACTCCTAGGTCAGGAGGTCAGTCATTAGAGGACATGCAGAGGCAGACATGTCACCAGATGAATTAGGGTTGGGAACACCTGTCCCAGCCATGCCGATGCTATGAAAATTATCGCTGCTTTCTCTTGTTTCAGTTGCCCCTTTCTTGGTTTCATTGAGAATTAGTCTCCATTGCTGGAAGTAAGTGGTCAAAGTATCCATGTCTTGGCTGAGATTCCCTTCAATTTTGTGGAAGTTGTTTCCAGTGTCAGCAATATAGATATCAGCATACACATACTTCTTGGGCTGCATTTCAAAAAGGTCATATGTGTATATATTGAACAAAAAGGAAGCCAAAACTGACCCATGTTAAAGTGACTGACTCTCTCCCCAACTTGCAGGATGAAGCTTCGGTTGTTAATCATACCTTGAGTGAACCACATCAGCCTACAAGGAATACAGTCAGAACCTCAGTAACGAACAGCTAAAAGAAATCTTCTTGCTAATAAACCCATCTAGATTCAGACCCCCAAGAACAGCCACTGCCATTCCATTTAGTTGTCATATACCTGGGAGTAAAACCTCAAACATAGCGTGACATACTGGCCTTACCTGCAACACCTGAAAATGAAGTTCTCTACCCATGCTGCCTTGATATGAAAACTGAGGAACCTCCTGGGGTACAGATTCTTTGGTCCTTCATACATCTGTACTGGCCTTGGTGTTTGCTCCAGCAGAATACTGCTCTGCCGTCTGGGGGTGCAGCTATCACACTTAACTTGTCAACATGGAGTTGAATTCAACCACTTGTATTATAATATAAGTGGCTGTTTGAACTATACACAAACCTTCAATTTGCATGTACTAGTAAACACAGCTCTGCCAGATCTTCGACAAGATGCCATTACTGTTACGTCTGCCTGGAGAGCAGTGACAGATGAACCAACCTATTAAGTCTCTGGTTGATTGATGCCTCATTCTGAGACAGAGAACAACACTCTGAGCCAACTCAAAAGTCTGCTTGTTTTCAGGGGAGGAATCCCATTTCTGTGGTCTGGGATGTGACACCATGGCCGATCTCTCGACATCCCTTTGCTATAGCAGTTGACACACTCCAGGACAAGAGTACTACTGGCCCTTTAGCATGCATGGAAAGCCAGCACCACTAGGGAGCTGAAAACTACGTCCTTACAGTGTGGAAGCATCGATAAGTAAATTCAGGAGCTCATTGCTGTACCTGTCTCCTTGTCCCCTTGATCAAAGATCCTAGACTACTCAAGATAAGTCCCAGGCAGACCGCGAAGCGCTACAAAAGGATCTCACAAACCTGGGTGACTGAGCAACAAAATGGCAGATGAAATTTAATATTGATAAATCCAAAGTAATGCACATTGGAAAACATAATCCTAACTATACATATACAATGATGCGGTCTAAATTAGCTGTTACCACTCAAGAAAGATCTGGGAGTCACTGGGGATAGTTCTCTGAAATCATCCACTCAATGTGCAGCAGCAGTCAAAAAAGTGACCAGAATGTTGAGAATCAAGAAAGGGATAGATAAGATACAAAATATCATTGCCTCTATATAAATCTGTGGTACGCCCAGACCTTGAATACTGTGTGCAGATATGGTCGCCCCATCTCAAAAAAGGTATATTGGAATTGGAAAAGGTTCAGAAAAGGGCAACAAAAATTATTAAGGGTATAGAACAGGAGGAGAGATTAATAAGACTGGGACTTTTCAGCTTGGAAAAGAAGTGACTAAGGGGGGGATATGATTGAGGTCTATAAAATCATGAGTGGTATAGAGAAAGCAAATATAGAAGTGTTATTTACTCCTTTTCATAATACAAGAACAAGGGGCCACCAAATGAAAATAGGTAGCAGGTTTAAAATAAATGTAAGAAAGTATTTTTTTCACGCAATGCTCTGTCAACCTCAAACTCCTTGCCAGAGGGTGTTGTGAAGGCCAGTACTATAATGGGGTTCAAAAGGGAGCTAGATAGATTCATGGAGGATAGGTCCATCAATGGCTATTAGCCAGAATGGTCAGGAATGGTGTCCCTAGCCTCTCTTTGCCAGAAGCTGGGACTGGGTGACAGGGCATGGATCACTTGATAACCTGTCTGTTCATTCCCTTTGGGGCAGCTGCCATTGGCCACTGTCAGAGGACAGGATACGGGGCTTGATGAACCTTTGGTCTGACCCAGTATGGCTGTTCTTATATTCTAGATCAGGCTTAATAGGCTACCCTCTGGCTCAAACAGAAGTGCTGCAACCATGCATTGGCTCGGCCTGCTGTCCCCCCTACACTGACTGTGGAGCGGCATAGCAGATAAGTCATGTGGTGGAAGAGTAGCATCTAGAAGGCAGTTTACAACACCTAACCTCCTTTGATACAGGACGTATCTGGTTATGGAACCTGGACATCAAGCGCTGACATCTGCATACAAGAGAGAAAGAGACCCATTCATAAAAGGGGCATAATTTACCTGCTTAACAGGGATGGGAGGCTGAACTGGGACAGTATGACCTAGTGGAGAGCACAGTGGACTGGATCTCATGAGACCTGGATTCTAATCCCAGCTCAGCCACTTGGCTACTGGATGACCTTGAGCAAGTCACTTCACCTCCTTTAGTCTCATTTTCTTGTCTGTAAAATGGGGCTAACAATATTTACCTCCATTGTAAAGCACTTTGAGAATTACTAATAAGTATTATGTAAGAGCTAAATATTATTGCTTACTAAGCTAACAAATCACAAGATAAATGGCACTATAAGAGTAGAAGGCATTTATTATATTTCATTGAAATTTCATTTGATGTGTTTGAAATACAAACTAATGATAAAGGAATATTTGGCTAATATACTAACTCCACAGTCATTCCTATTAGCAATAAAGTCCACATACCAACAGACATAGTACATGTGAAGACTCAAAATAATGTTTAGAAACACACACACTAATTTAATTACTACTATATCTCTCCATGACTTTTATGGAAGGAAAAGTATCTACATAAACTTTATAAAAGTAAATAATGAGTGAAGTCTAAATACAAAGCAGTTTGATTTAACATGTACATGCTCCTCCAGCACAAAATCAGCTTAGCAGTGGCATATTATAGTGTTATTGCAATCAGTATTCTAGATTATTCTATAAACAAACATATAAAAGTAGACAAAATATAAATTTAATTCAAGCTACTCTTACCATTTTCTACGTCCTTCAAAATGTTCTGAGAAGTAGGATAATAGCTGCTCTCTTTGGCTTTTAAGATCTTAACCATTTTTTGAACAACAGGAGACTGAAGCTAGAATCAAACAATTTTTTTCAGTAAATACGAAATTTAAGAACGTCTGTCACAAAGTGGAGTAGGTTGTCTATCTGGATATAGAGTGTGAAATCAAAAGTTTTACTACCAACTTCAATGGAGTCAGGATTTCAGCCAAAGTATTTATTAAAAAAAAACAACAACCCCAAAACAGGTATATGCATATTGGGCCTGATCCAATGTCCATGGAAATCAATGAAAAAACTCCCATTGACTTCCGTGGGTAATGGGTCAGGCTCTCTATGCTAATAATGTTAATCCAATTTATACTGGAGCACTGCTAATAACCAGGATAGTGGAAATACAGAATTAAAAAGAGGATGGTAACAACATGTTTTCCAGCTCCAAGCAATATATCATATTTAAAATGTAAATCTTGATAGCTGCACAATGTTTTAATAAGACACAGCTGGAGGATTTGTAATATCCAATTTAACAAGTCTGTATTCTGAAGCAGCAGCCTCCATTCCATAGCTAAGGTTGAATCTACTTTCCCATTATAGGCCTGATTTTCAAGCCCAATTTCTTCAGAAAGAAATCTTTCCCCTTATGTAGCATTTTCTGGGGCAGAGACATAGGAAAAGATTTCTAAAGCTCCAGACTGAGATTTTGAAATCAGCACAGGGAAGTTAGCTATACGTATCTTAAAATTAATGGAACACGCGTAGTTAAATCTCCTGCACAGGGTCAACCAGGATATTTCAATTTTTTCTTTGTCATTCAAGTTTTAACAGTTTTTTCCTCATTATTTTCTGGCTCTTCATATGTCTCTCAAATGGCTTGGCCTAAGAACTCCAAATTTTATTTTACTTTACCTGTGAGGGAAAATGCCTATTTGTATCTTTTTATTTCGGTGGTATTGTTTTGGGTGGGGAGAGTGCAAAGATATAGACTGGAAGAGGCATAGTAAGATTTACGGTACATAGGAAAGATACTGGAGGAGGGGAAAGGCTAAACATGAATTGGAGGGACGGGGAACAAATGCAAGGGAGATAAAGCACATTTATTAAAGTTTTTTCCTAGTAGTTATTTATCATCAACCCTTTCTAAGTGGTTTGTTTTTTTAAAGGATTGGCTAAAAGAAGCTGTGGGTTCAGAAAGTTGCCTGTGGACCCCCCCACACCTATGCTAAGGCCTCCCAATTTATTATTATTTTTTTCAAAGAGCATGGAGGAAGCTGATCTTGGGGGAGGTAGGGCATAAAAGGAACGGGGAAGACAGAGCGGGATGCTGAGGACTCAGGGGCATGGAAATGCTGGAATGCACTTCTCCGCCTCCAGATCTTACGCAACCACCTCTTTTAAACTTCTTTTTTTTAACCCAACCAAATAAAAAGGGTGATTCCAAACAAAAAGCTCACTTAATGAATTTAGTTTGAAGGTATGTTTCAGTGGAGTCTGCCTAACCACCACAAAAAATTATGCTTTCTTGACCAAACACACACGTTAGATAATTTAGAAATGAACAATTAAGGGATCCAGACAGTTCCCCACTGCCATGTAGTCCTTAATCACTAACTATCACTCTTATTTACACCACCACACCTCCTTAACTCCATTTTGTTTGGGCATATCTATGAAGCCAGTTTAATCAGAAATCCAGATCTTCAGCTGTGCCCATCTTCTATGTAGGTTATTTGAAACACCGAAAACAGTGGCTCATTTTGCATGCAAAAAGATGACAAGCATAGAGGGCTTCCCTCAATATCTGCCAAATATCTGAAAACACGTACTTGATCATATATGCACAACAAATTATCTTTTCTTTTCTTCCAGAAGTTGAGCTCAATTTGGGGATCCGAATGGAGGCCTTGCAGAAGAGGTTGAACAGAATCCTCTCTTAGTATGTCACATATCTGATGCGACCATTTAATAACCATAGATTCAACTGCATGTAGCACTGCCCTAGCATATGGATATTGTCTGAAAAACAAAAAACAAAAAAATTCAGTGTTTTGCTGAATTACAGGTGGTGTTCAAGGGCAGTGGTCTGGCAACAGATGTCCTTGTCCATCACTTTACACTTTATCACAAACACTTTAGTGTTAACACCTAAAATACTGAGTCTGGTACTGGCCAACACATTACCAGAAAGATATATTCAAACCACTACAATTAAATGATCAGCAAGCCGAAAGGACTGATTTATGAGGAAAGAATAAGAGTTTGACTGTCAGTAAACCGAATACAATTTTCCTCAGCTCTATACATTGTTCAAAGCTATTGGCCAAGTACTCCCATGAATAATTCTTTGTTTGTGAGTGTTCAGTATTCAAAATCAAAGTTTTGTTGCTTAGTTTACTGGTCCCAAGTCACATGATACTGTTCCCATTTCTTGACTGGATAAGAAGTTACAATCAGGTTTCCAGTCCAGATATTCAACATTTATTAGTTCAAAATTCACTTCCTAGGCATGTTCTTTAACATTTCCTGACATGTACTCTTTCTAGTAACATTCCAGCCTGTTAATTTATTTGCTATAACATATAGTTCAGGGCCCACAAAGACAAGGAAGGACGCAAGCAAAGCTGAAGTGAATTATATTTACAGAATATTAAGGCGTGCACCTATCTCTAACTAGGAGACATCAGCTGCTCTACATGCAATCTTGTGCAGAAATAACTAAATTAGTTTAAAAATTCACAGCTTTTGTTGTTTCAGTGCAAGTCTGTGTGTGGATATTCTTCATTAAAAAATTAAAGCTTTTACTTCAATGTCATTTAAGCGGTTAAAAAGCCATTATTAACAAGAGTTGTGAATTTAAACATATTTAGTTATTTCAGTGCAGGTTTGTGTGTAGATAAGCCCTAACTTTCTCCTTTCTGTCTGGGACCCCTGGCTCTCACTTCCCATGTCCTCTTCTGTGTCTAAAATGCCTGCATGAAGTCATCTTCTCCCACTGCCCTTCTCACACCACACTGCTCCTGTTGTCTTGCTATCTCTTAATACGTTAAATTCAAGAAGATTGTCCTCACCTGCAAGGCTCTACATAATCTTGCCCTCCCACACACAATTTAATCTAATTTCTCTCCATTCTCCTTCAGAGTCCTTTCACCCCTTACTCCACTCTGCAGCTTGTTTTCCCATTTTTGGCTTCATGCTTATGTCATGCTGCTGGAACACTCCCTCTGTTCCTCACTCTTCTCTCCCCACCTAGCACTGCGGGGTTTCGAACCTGATTGAGGCACCTAGGCCCTACACATTACAGCAATAGGAACAAATCCTACCCCTCTGAGCAATCCCTCATCAATAATCTGTGCAGACAACCTGTCCTGAACTCTTGTCATGTGTTTGTCTTATTTAAATTGTAAGCTCTTTGGGGCTGGAATGTGTCATTGCCATGTAAATTTATGGTGCTTTAATATTGTTCATTGAAACTGCAATGACCACTACCTGCTCAAAGGATGATATCAAAAAGGACGGAATTTCCTGGACTTCTAAATATACATCTTCCAGAATTTAACAAGCACCATGTCTAAATATTAGATCAGGGGCCAGACCCTCAGCTGGTGTAAACTGTCATAGCTTCATTGACGGCAGTGGAGCTCAATTTTAAACCAGCCAAGAATCTGGTCCCATATTTCAGTCCCTCCACTTACCTGAATCTTTCTGATGTTAATTGATGACAAAAGGCACCATTATATCACATTTTTCTATTTTCTTAACTCTGGTTGAAACAGCAACAGGTTGGCTAAAATTTAGCATTATGGCTGCTAAATATTAGAGAATATATCAGTGCACATATTGTGATACACTGAGTTTCTTAGAAATAAAACAAAAGAAAACCTGAACAATGTAGCACACACATCCCTTTAAAACAACACGTGTACTTTTATGTAATAAACAATTGAGTAATAAAACAAATAGCATCTAGTATTTCAAACAGTAGCATTGTAAAATATTGCCCAAGGGATACAAAAATTAGATCTGTTGTGCAATAATTCTTCTCAGTGATTACATCACCATTTAAATATTTTTCCCTCCCTCAAACAGTATTTTACTGTTACTGTCCTCAAATCCAGGCACTATATATAAATAATTCCATGAAAAGCAGTCTTAAAATTAAACCCCTCTTAATCCTTGTACATGACACCACCCCTTCAAATTAGAACATTCAACCAATCACTGCTGCTCCCATTGAAACAGCCACTGAAGTCATGTTGAATGAAGAGCACTAAGACTGAAAGGGAAATACACAGTAATTGGAAAAGAGATGGGGAACCTGGAAGGGGAGCGAGAGAATAGGCTGCAATCCAGCAGAGCACTTAAGCACCTGCTTAACTTTTAAAGCACTTGAATAGTTCCATTGAAGGCAATAAGATTATTCATGTGATTGAAGTTAAACTTGTATGCAAGCGCTCTGTTGGATCTGAGCCACAGAGAGGAAGTAGTAGCTATTGGCAGTACATTCAAAAATTTCATCCAAAAAAAAACAACCAAAAAACAACTAGTCATATTTCATGTTATGAGGCTATATTTTCATTAGAGGTTCTCGTGAATACACAAACAACTTCTGCCTTGCTCTTGCAGTTAACTGGCCACAACTAGAAGCCCTTGAGGATACATTCTATGTAGCCTCTCATATACCAGAGAGCAATTTCAATGTTTAGTTATTTTGTAAAAATCTCTTTTGGCATTTTGAGGCAACAGCCATAATCTGGGGCACTCTTTAAAATGTTCATGGGAGTGATCTTATAACCAAAGTGTTCCAAATTCAACATCATTAATATTCCAAGTTTAATATCAAAAGGGATATTTTTAACATTTACTGATACATTTATTTAACTAATGCAACTAATAGCAGTTTAAATTGTTGTGGCTGAAAGACCATCAGGTGCAGTTGCTCTTTGCTGTATTGTATGTGTTGTGTTTCTTACTTATTTTCAGTGCACATCTGATGCAAGTCAGCCTTCGCTGCAACTGTTGGAATGGGAAGAAGGGTTCTTCCTGACATCATTCCCTTCATAACATGCACCTTATTTTTCATAATTTCCACATGATGTTCCATGTCTTGTGAAATAAAATGTGGCCAGGATCCATGGTTTTTCTTATTGGAAAGAACAGGCACTAAGATCTAGAGACAGAGCAGGGAAAGAGGGGTTGCAAATCAGTTAAATGTTTAAAGTTTTTCAAGGGTATTTCACAACACACTGCTTCTTTAAATCCTGAGTGGAACAAATACACACCAAAACTAAACTAAAGCATACATCAGAAACAAAGGATTACTTAAATCAAAGTCAGCTTTTTGATTTTTAATATATATTTTTCTGTTGATATACATGTGTTCAAACCTATTCTAATTGTGTTGTACACAAAAAGAATATGTATTTACATTCTCCACAAATCAACTGAGCCCCAACATTGAGACTCTTTTTCAGAAACCATGAATTATACTATTTTTGTTATTTCTCCTCCACCTTTTCCCCGCAAAAAAAAAAAAAAGAGGGAGAGAAATAAATAGCCAAGTCTCCATATCCAACCTCTCCCATCAGAGGTCACAAAATCATCATCAACATCCCAGTCCTCAAGTGCCTTGGTTTAATAAACAAAAAAAAAACAAACGAACAAACGAGTAATCCCAAAATATAATTTAATTTCTGGTCAGGTTCAACATCATATTTAGAATAATCTTAGAGTAAAAATACCCTTCAATAATAAGCCTTTGTAAAAATATTTTTTCCATTAATGCAAATGTGTAGTTTTGTCTGTGACTGAATATTGCATATTCAAAACATTTATTTATAAAGCCTTTAATTCCTTCATATAAACAAACATTCCCTAACTCCTAGCTACATTTTCTATAGTACATATCACTGTATTTTTGAAGCACTTAAGCACATGCTTAACTTTAAGCATGTGATTATTGCTCACTGAAGTTTACAATTAAGCATGTGCTTAAGCACTTTGCCAAATGTGGGTAGAACATAACTCCTGCTTAAGTGCTTTTATGAATCAGGTCTAAACCATGAATAGGTAAATTAAATCTGCATACCAATGTCACATAGGGACCTTTTTGAGGATTATTTTTAGGACATTAGTGCACATAGATCCCAGTCAGGTTAGGGCTCCATTAGGCTCAATATTGTACAACCATAAAACAAACAATGAGCTCATCATCTTAGGCTCGAATGCTACAAACAGCTCATATAGAGCTCCACTGACTTCTACCTGTGCAGGACTCCTTGTAGGATTAGGGGTATTAGTTTAAAACAAGGCACAACAGGGAGGTGAAATAAATGGTGAAGGACAGGGAAAACAGTGATACAGTATAATCATGTTTTTGTAAAGACTGAGTGCAAAATTTGTAGTTATAAACCTTGATTCTAGTTGTTTTGTTAGAGACAGATGAACAGATCAATAGTGGCCTGAACTCCTCACCTGCCTTTCTACGGTCAGTTGTTCTGTAGTGTTCTATAGGCACCATGGTAAAGTGCATGTTAAGAGAGGATGTGGCACAAAGCATCCCCAGAGCATACCACCCCACAAAATGGCACTGCAATCACTGCACCTCAGTCTCCTCTTTGGTGTTCAGTAATCACTGTGGTCCTCAGTATCAGAGGGGTAGCCGTGTTAGTTTGTGTCCACAAAAACAACAAGGAGTCCAGTGGCACCTTAAAGATTAACAGATTTATTTGGGCATAAGCTTTCATGGATAAAAAAAGTCCACTTCTTCAGATGCATGGAGTGAAAATTATAGATACAGGCATAAATATATATTGGCACATGAACAGAAGGGAGTTACAAGTGTAAAACCAATGTTGAAGGCCAATTTAGTCAAGGTGGATGTTATCCACTCCCAATAATTGATGAGGAAGTGTCAATACCAAGAGAGGGAAAACTGAAGAAGTGGGTTTTTCACCCGTGAAAGCTTATGCCCAAATAAATCTGTTAGTCTGTTCCACCAGCCTCTCCTCATGGCAGAGGGCCACCAGACTCCTCATTGTTTTTGTGGTCCCCAGGTGCATGAAAGAGATCCTCTTAAAATGATAACTACTTGGTTATCTGGTGGAACTTCTTGGAGTTTACTGAAAGAGGATTGTCACCCATCATCAAACCTGATAGTATTCAAAGAAAGTTCTTAAATGAAGGATGGGAGAAACCCTTTCTACAAGGCCAATTTATAATTGTGTATATACTAAGTTTCTCTCTATTTAAGTTGTAAAACAAGTTTTATAAGATTTCTGTTATCAATGAATGGATCTGTTAATAAACAGCATTAAAAAAAGCAAAGAAGAGAAGGGAAAAGAAAAGCGAAAAGAAAAAGATCCTCTTTACTCTGTGATGCAGTTCCAACTGCTTCTGCATAACAGTGAACTTCCTGTGTGAGTGAAAAGATAAGCCAGGTAAGGTAGAGTTTCTACTACCACACATCCTCCTTGAATCTTCAGGGCTCTCATGCACCCGGGAGTGGGTTTGTTTGTGTTTATTAACTAGCATTCTTCCACTTGGGATCTAATTTATTAAATCCTTACAAAAAATGTATAGAATTCCTCTCGCTCTTTCAGGCTGAAGACCCTCCTTCTCTTAGGGCTTTCCATTTACCATTGGTTTGGATAGCTACCCACAATGCAACTTTCTGTTGATGCAAGAGGATCGACTGTGGATGCACTCTGCCGACACAAGGAGCATTGTGTGGACTTGCACAGCCAATGTAATTAAAGCAGCATATGGTTGTCATTGTAGACAAGGCCCTAGCTCCCTCTGAGCAGAGAAGCTCTGCCAGTCCCGTTCCAACCTTTGGGCCTCTCTCTAGGGAGACCTTCCCCAAGGAATCCTAATAATAGAATCATAGAAGATTAGGGTTGGAAGAGACCTCAGGAGGTCATCTAGTCTAACCCCCTGCTCAAAGCAGGATCAACCCCAACTAAATCATTCCAGCCAGGGCTTTGTCAAGGTGGCCCTTTAAAACCTCTAAAGATGGAGCTTCCACCACCTCCCTAGGTAACCCATTCCAGTGCTTCACCACCCTCCTAGTGAAATAAATAAACAAACAAATAAAAATTAATATCCAACCTAGATCTCTCCGACTGCAACTTGAAACCATTGCTCCTTGTTCTGTCATCTGCCACCACTGAGAACTGTCTAGCTCCATCCTCTTTGGAACCCCCGTCCAGGTAGTTGAAGGCTGCTATCAAATCCCCCCTCACTCTTCTCTCATGCAGACTAAATAAGCCCAGTTCCATTAGCCTCCCCTCGTAAGTCATGTGCCCCAGCCCTTTAATCATTTTCTTTGCCCTCCGCTGAACTCTCTCCAATTTGTCCACATCCTTTCTGTCGTGGGGGGCCCAAAACTGGACGCAGTACTCCAGATGTGGCCTCACCAGTGCCAAATAGAGGGGAATAATTACTTCCCTCGATCCGCTGGCAATGCTCCTACTAATGCAGCCCAATATGCCATTAGCCTTTTTGGCAACAAGGGCACACTGTTGACTGATATCCAGCTTCTCGTCCACAGTAATCCCCAGGTCCTTTTCTGCAGAACTGCCGCTTAGCCAGTCAGTCCCCGGCCTGTAGCAGTGCATGGGATTCTTCCATCTTAAGTGCAGGACTCAGATTTCTTTTGGCCCAGTCCTCCAATTTGTCTAGGTCACCCTATCCCTACTCTTCAGTGTATCTACCTCTCCCCTCAGTTTAGGGTCGTCTGCGAACTTGCTGAGGGTGCAATCCATCCCACCATCCAGATCATTAATGAAGATCTTGAACAAAACTGGCCCCAGCACGGACCCCTGGGGCACTCCGCTCAATCCAGCTTCCAACTAGACATCAAGCTGTTGATCACTACCTGTTGAGCCTGACAATCTAGCCAGCTTTCTATCCACCCTATAGTCCATTCATCCAATCCATACTTTTTTAACTTGCTGGCAAGAATACTGTGGGAGACCATATCAAAAACTTTGCTAAAGTCAAGGTATATCACATCCACTGCTTTCCCCATATCCTGAGAGCCAGTTATTTCATCATAGAAAGCAAACAGGTTGGTCAGGCATGACTTGCCCTGGGTGAATCCATGTTGACTGTTCCTGATCATGTTCCTCTCCTCCAAGTGCTTCAAAATGGATTCCTTGAGGACCTGCTCCATGATTTTTCCAGGGACTGAGGTGAGGCTGACTGGTCTGTAGTTCCCTGGATTCTCCTTCTTCCCTTTTTTAAAGATGGGCACTATATTTGCCTTTTTCCAGTTGTCCGGGACCTCCCCCAATTGCAACGAGTTTTCAAAGATAATGGCCAACGGCTCTGCAATCACATCAGCCAACTTCCTCAGCATTCTCAGATGCATTAGATCCGGCCCCATGGACTTGCATGTCCAGCTTTTCTAAATAGTCCTTAACCTGTTCTTTCACCACTGAGGGCTGCTCACCTCCTCCCCATACTGTGCTGCTGTCTGGGAGCTGACCTCATCTGTGAAGACTGAGGCAAAAAAAAAAAAGCATTGAGCGCTTCAGCTTTTTCCATATCATCTGTCACAAGGTTGACGTCCCCATTCACTAAGGGACCCACACTTTCCCTGACCACCTTCTTGCTGCTAACATATTTGTAGAAACCCTTCTTGTTACCCTTCACATCCCTTGCTAGCTGCAACTCCAACTGTGCTTTGGCCTTCCTGTTTACACCCCTGTACGATCGAGCAATATTTTTATACTCCTCCCAAGCCATCTGTCCAAGTTTCCATTTCTTGTAAGCTTCCTTTTTGTGTTTAAGCTCACCGAAAAGTTCTCTGTTAAGGCAAGCTGGTTGCCTGCCATATTTATTATTCTTTCTACACTTTGGGATGGTTTGTTCCTATGCTCTCAGTAAGGCTTCTTTAAACTACAGCCAGCTCTCCTGGACTCCTTTCTCCCCTCGTATTAGCCTCCCAGGGGATCCTGCCCATCAGTTCCCTGAGGGAGTCAAAGTCTGCTTTTCTGAAGTTAAGGATCCATATCCCAATCCCTGAGATCAAAGCTCCCTCTTCCTTTAGGAGAAGGTCTCCCCAGTCCTCCTTCCTGGCTGGCCTTGTTGGCCCATCACCACCGTCGGCAGGGTTCTCTCACAGAAGAGCCTCCTGGCAGCTCTCTCTTGACACTAATCTCCCTTGGGAATTCCTTTTTAAGCCTCAGCAGATAAGGGCTCAGGCACCTGGCACCCATTCCCAGCATGGTTGGTGATTCTTCTCAGAATTTGCACATATTTTTCTTAAAAGGGCTGGGCCTTGGAACATATTACAGTGTTAAAAGGGATATGAAGGATGAGTCAGAGTTAGACTTTATTAAGAAGGCTACTCTTTAACCTTCCTGGATTTATGGAAACTGCTACGGCTTGATTTTGTTTCGAAGGGAAAAGGAGCAAGTTGTTTGATTTTTCATTTTATTTTCTTATTTTTGTTGAATATTCCCTTGTGGTGTGAAATTTTATTGCATATAGTGAACAACTTTTTAAGTGAGAACATAAGGAACTCAGTGAAATTTCTTGTTTATATACTAAACAGACATAATGAAGCTGCTTTTAAAATGCCTAACCTTCCAGTTTCTCATCCATCCATCCTTTTCCTACTTTTAAAAAGGTTTAACTGCATTTTTGTTTTCAGTGTTTGCTGAAGTCCTTGACATGCCCTCTAATGTAGATAATCAGCAACACATAATCTGAGTCGTCTCAGGTTAAGCAAGATCTTTAAATCAAATATTTGAACAGGTGCTACTGTTGTGAAATTCTCAGTTGATTTCTACAGAATGTATTAGTCAGGTAAACAACTAGAGTAGCACTATCAGTATGATTTGTTACAACTAAATTCCAAATGCTTGTTTGTTGCTGTACATCCTCCATAGCAACAAACCGGGAAAAAAGTAATTCATTTTTAATAGGAAATACATCTGAATAAGTTGAATGCATAGCCAAGCCAAATACATCAGCTTTTACAAAGGAGAATAGGCTCCCAAGTAAATGTGGAATTTGAAATTAAGACATCCATGTAGAGGATGTATCCTTGATCTCATCAGCAGCAAACTTCCATCTTCTCTTCATTATAGTTTGAGGCCTCACTCCCTCTCTCCATGAACTTTTCAAAAAAAAAAAAAAAACACTTGACTTTGCCAGCCTCTATAAAAAATGGATTCCCAACGAAATGTGTGAAACCCTGCCTCACTGAAGTCAATGGGAGTTCTCCTACTGACTTCAATGGGGCCAGAATTTCATCCTTTATCTTTCCAGTGTAAGTTTGCTAAAGTTCTATTACCTCTTTTGCTCTTAACCAGCTTGTTTCCACTGGCCCCAAGACAATAACTTCCTCTCAAATGACACGGCCACCCCAAAATGATCACCAATTCAGGGTCAACAAAGTCACCAGCCAACATAGTGAGACCCTATAGCGCCCGTCTAGTCTTAACATCTTTCACTATTATTGATTTTTAAAAATATTTGTTGATTATGTCTTAATTGCACATATTTTTCACCTTACTGAAATACATTTGATTATATTCCTAATTAATCAAAGAATTTGAAAATTAAATTACATTTATAACATTGAAAAAGAATCATGCAGAGGGAACATTTTTGGAAAAGTATTAATATACTCATTTCTACTGTGTTCATTTTCATATTTAAATTCCCAAAGTCCTGTTTTTCTAATGATTACCAGGAATTTTAAGTTTTTGTATTCTGACTGAGCTATTTTCACACTAAGGACCAAATTCTGCCTTGGGTAACAGTGGTGTAAATCCAGAGTAACTCGATTTACTTCAGTGGATTTATAGCAGTGTAACGCAGACCAGAGTTTGACCACATGTGAGTGTCTTAACTGACTGCCAGGAGAAGCAGTGACTGACAATATGAAATATTTTAAAATTTTAAAAGGAGACAGTGGTCTTGCTATAGATCCAAACACAACGAAGTGATACCTGGAGATCTGGGGAATCAAGCATTTAAATTTCTAATTAAAAAAAAAAAAAGAGCTCTTCTTCCAACCATAAGATTCCAAATGCAACTTTAAAACTCAGAGCCAAATTCAACTCTGGTACAAGCAGGCAACTTCATGGACGTCAAACATGTTGCACTACTTTTATCAGCATTGAATTTGATCCAGAGAGCCTACCAACACAGGCTGCAAAAATAACTAAAGTAAAGTGTTTTGGATAATAGGACTATGTGTATGTAACAGAAAATCACATATATACCAAATGAATGATTTTTGATGTCTGTTTGATGTTATACAACTTATCTCATCCAGTTACTTGTTTTCATATTCCTCCTTTTAAGAAATAGAATATAACCAAACAGTGACAAGATTTTAAAATTTTGCATATATATTTATCTATTTAGCTTTTGATTTACATTTCAGAGAAAGGTTCAGCAAGAGTGGAGTAAAATTTTGGCTGAGATCTACTGGAACTGAACTCCTTTTAGTGGGGAAAACTTCTTTTATACACCCCTCCTCACAGAGCTTATACCCCCTTCCTCATAGCTGCTGAAGCTAACGGTGCTGCAGGGGCTGCCGCTGCTGCCGCCCTCCCCTCCAACTTGAAGTGGTTTCCATCACATACAGGGTTTACAGTTTGGTTCAATGGCTGTCAGCAACCCCACTAAACAAATTGTTCCAGCACCCCTGCCCTTCCTATGAAATAGTTATAGATTCATCAGCTGCAAAAAACCTTTGGTCATGTGACTATGAAAGCTATTTTTAATTATTAAAATTAACATAGTTCTGATCTGGAATAATGACTGCATATACCCTTAACTTTTGACATGCAACTCTACCATCTGCTATTTTAATATTCCTGAATGAGAGATAATAATAAGCCACAGGAGAACTGACTCATGACCCATCTTTCATGCTGACATCCTTTGGACAAACGGAGTACTGTACAATGTCCCTCTCAAAATCTGGGCTGCTGAAAATGGGTTCTAGATACCTGAAGAGAATCAAGCACTTAACCTATTACAAGCAGGTTATACAAAATGTTCAGTGTGTGCTTCATGCTTCACCACAATTCAGGTGATGAAATAACTTTAATTACAATAAATAATAATAAGACAACATATATTACAATGTCTCCACTACCCATCCCTTTGTGACATGTCTAGGCAACAGAGTAGCTGCAGTTTTGTTGTAATTTTTTTCTTTTACCAGTATACGCATTATTTTTCTGCAGTCCACTATCTGGTGGAAATTATAATAAATGCAAGACTCAGATTTTAAGTTTTATCACAAATGGTTAGTTATAAATACCTCTTCTAAGAAATCAACTGTATGCTCAAGTGGTGTTGCAGACAACTCTTCAAATACTAGATTTTTTTTGTAATTATCTGTTCCAATGCGTTCTGTGGTCTTCATAATGCAAACTAATTTATGTGTTATATCACTGGGTATCTAAAACAAGAGAATCATAGGTTATCAATTCTACAAGAATATGATCTTCATCGTACAAAGTAGTCAGAGAATAAACACCAATAGCTGCTTTTTAGGTGACAGACAATATTGAGGTCCTGGTCAGGCCTGTTGGGACTGAGTGGAGGGAGCAGAGCACAGAGGTACAAAAATAGCTGGCAGTAGAGCAGCCTGGGACTCTGAAGCACCTTTTCAGAACCCCGTGTTGTGTGAGTGTCCAAAAATCCATACCCAGACCTTTGGACTTGCTTTAACGTCTGGTTTGTCACCTGCTTGTGATTGATCTTTCGCAAATAGGCACCAGTTTAAAAAAAAATTAAAGAAAACAAGAACCAAACCCCCCATTTTATACCATACTGATAGACAAAGTAGGGCCACATTTTCAGACAACAGTGTGGTTGCATCTCGGGGGTGGGTGAAATGAACCCCATACATGATGTCTGTAAGATACTTTCAGATGATATATAGGGCCAAATTCTATCCCTTGATATATGCCCATAACTTCCACTCAATACAAGCTAAATGAACGTTTCTGACAGCAGTTTAGCCTAATTATTAATTCACATCCAACAATAAATTAACTCTTTCCAAAACCATATCCCTCTTCATGGAAACGTTAGATGGACAACAATCTGGGCCTAAACTTTCAATTTTAGGTTTCATTGAGGTGGATGTATTTCATGATTTGACAGCTATGGAATTTGCCATTGATTCCATCCCTTTTCAGAATGTGCTCCAGAATCTAAAAACTTTCATTAAAAAAAATTAGACTTCTTGGTTGCAAAAGAAACTGTACAAACAAACTGAGTGTAACAACTGACACATTGTCATCTTCCAGGGTCTGCAGACAGCCTGAAATCAAAGCTCCAAGAGATTCCAAACCAGCTGCCAAAACTTTCATAGCTTTACCCCTGACATTTTCAACAATGCTACAAACCTATGTGTTGTCAGTACAAAATCTGCACAATAATTGAAAATGTGGGGATAGTGTCAAATAAATTTAAAAATAGAGAAAGACAGAGCTAGCGTGCTGACTGTATTATTTCTGTTCACTTTTAAACTGAGATTTTTAATGAATTAAAGCAACCATATATTTTTCAGTCTGCCACAGAAAGTAGCTGGCCTTGCAGCAGAACTTAGATTCGGTTTGTAACCAGGGTCAGGCTTTATAAAATTGTCTTATGAACTGTTTTTAAAACACAAAGCCACAAAGATGCTCCTCTTCTGGATTAAGTCACACATTCAATGCAGTACTGTGAAAATATTTTAAGAGAAACTAAATTACCTTTACTATAATTAAGTGGCAAAGGGTGGCCTTGGAATGGCCCCCATCAGGCAGTGGTTTGGAGCACCCATTATTGTTGCGTGTATTCTTGTCCCATTGGTTTGATATAATTAAGTTAGATTTTCTGTTCAATTCTTTGGCAAGGGACATAAGCGATAAAAAAATAGTACTCCAAAGGTCAAGAAATATGGGGCAAGAGGGCTACAGCTGAGATTTTTTTAAAATTAATTTAGGGAAACCGGATAGTATACTGAACAAAGTAACTCCTTTTATTTCCCTAGAGACCCAATTTTGGTGGTAGAAACTGTCTTGGAGGACAGTTACTTGTATTATAGTGTTACTAATAAAAGTTTCCGGCAGCTGATAGCCAATGATCAAGATAATTCAAGGACAATTTTTTTTAAAAAATCTCCAGTGATGTAGATGTGCTGTGGGTATTTTAACTAAGTGCACTGATATCTTTAGGAATTGAGGTATTAACTAAGAACCACACATACAATATTAAGTACTCACAGTTACTTGCATTCCTAGCTAAAACCAGTAGTTTGTTAGCTATAACAGTCAGTGGGTGATGTCTTGGCCTCACTGAAGTCAATGGCAAAACTGCCATTGAGTTCAGTGGAGCCAGGATTTAATTCATGTATTTTAAACAGGATAGGTTAATAGTCCTATTAATAGGTTAATAGAGGGTTGAGTCCTCTCAGTCACTATGGACCAGACTGAGCCCCCCATACTCATACCCCACCAGTAATCCAATTTACTTCAATGGATCTATTTGTGTAACTATTCACAAGTGTAAAGGCATGCCTGTCCCAATCTGAATCCTATCTTAACCAAATCACATTTTAAATGCACTGATACTCAGATTTGAGTGATTCAGGAGCCGAATTAGCAATCAACATTACCCAATAGAGCCACAGTAGTGTGAATTCGTTGTTTCATTTACTACAATACGTAAATATACAATCATTCTCACAGCAAATAAGTTAATAGTACAAGCTGATAACTTACTTAGTTAATACCATTGTAAAAGATCCTGATTGGTTAATAATTAAAATCAGTGTTTTAATCATGTGATGCAAAGAACCACAGGAGACACTTTAAAAAGCCACTTGCTCCTCCCAAGCCTCAGTCTGAGTGTCACTGTTTTAAAAGGGAAGACCCTTAAGAGAAAGGATAAGAGCACCAGAGGGGTGGAAAGGAACGGCTGACGCTAAAGAGTGTGTTCATGCTAGAACTTCAATACTAAAGATTAACTTCAATAAAGTGTTCATATATGTCCAGTTAGTTCCCCCTTAGAATCATTACAGTGGGGACAAATCCAGAAGGGTCTAAACATTGTTGGTGATGGTGATTCAGGTACAATTAAACTCTGCTCCCAATTTATCCCCAATTTTGCCCATCTCTACTAATATTAAAAGGCTTGATTCCATTCATTGGGAAGTCCTAACCCTGAAAGAGCCAAGCAGTTGGGGATCGTGCTTTTCATGGCAAGTCTTAAGGTCTCTGCGCTAGAAAACACTAGCAAATATATTTTCAGCACCCCGAAGTCCAAAGGGTACAGTATTTGTCATTCAAACGTCAGCACCTTACCTTCTGCATGGCTGTTAACCTGCCTGCCAGAGGGGAGCAAAACAGCAAGAAAGCTGGTTCGCTTTTGTCCAAAAACTCTGCCAGGATTTTCTGGTTCTCCTCATTTTCAAGATACTTGCTCCATTTCTCTGCTTGAAATTTCAGCAACTGTGCCAAGCGGTGCCCCACAAACTGGACCCTCTCCTCCTCTGAGAAACTTTCTTCCTGCGCCGCCTCTTCCTCCTCCATCTCCAGCCCGAGAATTGGAGGGGCTGGGGGGAGCCGCTGAAGCGCAAGGCAGACTCCCGCACAAGTTGCTGCTCAGAGACTAACTTGCCCCCCTTCTTCAAACTCCCGCCTACACGGCAGCTACCACTTTGCGTCCCCTTGCAAATGCGCTAGCCCCGGTTGGCCCGGGCGGTTTGCAGTTCAGCTCCCCTACAGCCCCAGCTCGTCCCGCAGTACAAATCCCCTCAGCCACCGGGCAGCGCAGTGACTTCTCTAAAGTTTCCTTCCTCCGCTGCCCTGTATTTGCAGTTCGCCTGCGGCTACTCGCTGCCCTGTGGTCCCTGACAAGCAGCCAGGGCACTAGTTACAGTGTTGCCTGCTGCAGCCTCAGCTGCCCTCAATTGCAGGGCAGCGGCGTCCTGTTTCCCTGGGGATGCCGGAGCCACTGGGGCGCCCGGCCCCGCCTCCCCAGGGAGTAGCTCAGGCCTCTTCCCAATCAGGGCACCGCCTCCCGGGGAACCAACCACCGTCACCCACCAGACTGGGGGGCAGAGAATTTTCAGCTTCTCTGTGGAGCCAGCCGGGTGTGGGGGGCTCAGAGTAAGGTCCGGGGGGGGGGGGATTCACGCTCGCTGATACAGTTCCAAGTTCAGCCTCCCTCCCCCTTCCCCTCCACTCCACCCCCAACCCCCGCTCTGTCCGCTCCCCCCGGCACCCGCGCAATGGTGCAGTCTCCATTCCGTGGGGCTCTGGCTGGCCGCTCACAGAGTTCAGACGACGCTGGTCCCCTCCCGGGTGACCCCAGAGCCCAGTTGAATCGGATCCTGGCCGTGATGAATGTGAGGGGCCTGTCGGTCTGCGGCTGGCGGGAGGAGGGATGCTACACCCTTGGAGTACAGAAGAGGGCACGATGAGGAGGTGTAGGCATGAAATGCGCGCTCCTCCTTGGCAGAACAAGAAGTAATGCTCTCAAGTTGCAGTGGGGGAGGTTTAGGTTGTATATTAGGAAAATCTTTTTCACTAGGAGGGTGGTGAAGCACTGGAATGGGTTATCTAGGGAGGTGGTGAAATCTCCTTCCTTAGAGGTTTTCAAGGTCAAGCTTGACAAAGCCCTGGCTGGGATGATTTAGTGGGGATTGGTCCTGCTTTGAGCAGGGGGTTGGACTAGATGACCTCCTGAGGTCCCTTCCAACCCTGATAGTCTATGATTCTATGAATCCCAACACCCAGGGTTGTGCAACAGTGCTTATGGACAGTTTTGTTTTTTAAATGGGGGGGGGGGCAGGCAACTTTGTGATTAATAAACTCAGCTGTTTGGTGTTGCAATAACAAAATGTAACTAAGACTAAGCGACTGCAAAACGTGTATAAAATGTCAATGTGGAAAAATAATGCTCCACCTTTGCACTTTTTAAAACAGTACAGTACTTAGTCAGCATGTTTTATACCCAATACTCAAACCTAAACATGTATGTAAGATTGTAACAAGATTCCAAGAAAGCACATTATTCTAAGTACAGTGCAATGGTTAGTTTAAAGATACATATGCACGCAATATTTGTATATATCTAAATGCTGCCCTTTGGTGGATTGTTAGGGCCCTACCAAATTCACAGTCCATTTTGGTCAATTTCACAGTCATAGGATTTTAAAAACAATAAATGTCATGATTTCAGCTATTTAAATCTGAAATTTCACAGTGTAATTGTAGGGGTCCTGACCCAAAAAGGAGTTGTGGGCAGGTTGCAAGGTTATTGAAGGGGGGGTTGCGAGGAGGTTGTAAGGGGGTTACTATGCTATTCTTGTTTCTGCACTGCTATTGGCGGCGGCTCTGCCTTCAGAGCTGGGCAGCTGGAGAGCGGTGACTGCTGGGCAGGAGCCCAGCTCTGAAGGCAGAGCCGCCGCCAGTGCAGAAGGAAGGATGGCATGGTCGCAGTATTGCCACCCTTTCTTCTGCACTGCTGCCTGCAGAGCTGGGCCCTCAATCAGCAACCACCACTCTCTGGTCATCCAGCTCTGAAGGCTATGCAGAAGTAAGGGTGGCAATACTGCGACCTCCCGCCCCCAAAATAACCTGGCAACCGCCCTGTAACTCCCTTTTGGGTCTGGACTCCCAATCTGAGAAATGCTGGTCTCCCCTGTGAAATCTGTATAGTACAGGGTAAAAGCACACAAAAAAACAGATTTCACCAGGGGAGACCAGATTTCACGGTCCATTAATTTGGTAGGGCTCTAGTAATAATTTACAGAACCCTTTTCTTTTAGGTCAGCAGTTCAAATATAGCCAAGATGACTGAGAATTGATACCATGAGTGGCGTATCAGAAATGGGTGGGTAGTCTCAGTCCAGTCCCAAGTGGACAGCTGTATACAAGATTGCCAAAAAAGAAAAATCCCTCCCCCAATAAATAGGTACATAAATAAACCCACAGAAAAACATACGGGGAGATGGCAAAGGTTTTTTTCAAACACACTTTTAAAATGCTAGCAGAAAGCTATTCATCAAAAATAAAACTACTTTAAATAAAAATAAGATTAGAAAATGTTTAGCTTTATCATGTAAATTACACATCATCTTCTCCCCTCTTCTTTCCCTCCACCCCATCTCTGTTCAGTGCCGGTGGTACCAGCTCCTAACCCACCCCTTTGCTTTCAGTACATGCCCCGCACACTCTCTTCACCTCAGAGCAAGTGAAGGTGTACATTCCACTATTCTTCCACAGATTTAGACACAACTGGACCTCCCTATAGCCACATTTAGGGCAAATAGCTAGGAGAAAAGTGCAGAAAAGTAGCAGCATAGAAAGGTCACTGAGCTTGGCTTGTGGTATGGACGGCAGTAGAGAAGAAGGAAGCATAGAGCAGCTGGTGGAAATAGAACATACTGACCCACTTGAAACTGCTCTGTGTTGAGTGAATAAAGAAACGGGTAGTATATTGAGGCTTAGATAGAAACAGAACATGTTTATTCAAGCAGAACACACAGGAGGAGATTCCTTGCATGACAGAGTTTTACTACACCTGTGCACCTGGCACATCATTTCCAGGCAGCAATGGAGCAGCAGCTCCACCTGTCAGAGTAGTCAGCTGCTGCTGATATGGTAGGATATCTACTTCAGAAGGATGCACTATCCCTAGATCAAAGGCAGCAGCACCAGGAGAAGAGTGAACACCAGGGCAGAGAGATCATGCCCTCCCTTTGCAAGATAGCCAACCATTCACTGCTCAGAAGGGCTTGTTTTTTTGCTTCCAGCACGCATAGGCCTTTCACCTTTTAAAAAATAAAATACATGGTTTATATGTTTATGGATGAGTGGTAACCCTGACTGTAGACATCACAAAACTAATCATCACAATTGGCCCTAACTGGCACTTTTGATGGCAAACTTGACAGAGAACCCATGGACTGAATCAGGTCAAGGCACGTTGGCAGGCATTGTAGGGAAGCCCACCATACCACTCCATGTACCCATTCTGTGGATAAATAAATATTACAGCTAAAATAGAAGACTATTAAAGAAAAGCATGTCACCTTCATAATTGCTCTCTCAGAATGTCGTACACAAACCAGGGCAGGTGGAAAGTGAACCTTCTGTCACTCTGAAGACTTCTGAGCTGCTAAGCTAAAGACACTATATAATAAATCAATACTTCCCAACCTTCTGCAATTAAAATTACAACTTTATTTGTGTACTATTTCTTCAAAACCAGGTAACAGAACTTGCTCCATAGTGAACTGCATTTACTCTATTCTTCACACCAGGGTTCGCCTTTAGAAGTTGAGTTTCTGGCAAGAAGGAACTGGGGGTGGGAGCAGTGTCCCTTATACCGTGGTATATGTGTGCCACTCCAGAGAATGCCAGAGCTGGTCCCCTATGGATACCACTGAGGGGAAAACTTCCAGCACCGGTGCATGTGGAAGGCACACACACCTACAGTGGAATGGACATGAGCAAGCTCTCGAAGAAGAAGGTAGACTTATGAACGCTAATGCAGAAATGGAAGAAGTGTTTAATAAATATTTCTGTTCTATTTTTGGGGAAAAAATCAGATTATTCAGTCTCATCATATGGTGATGGTAACACTCTTTCCCTTGCACTAGAATAACTGGTGGATGTTAAACAGAAGTTACTAAAGTCAGACATTTTTAAATCAGCAGGTCCAGATAACTTGCATCCAAGAGTTTTAAAAGAGCTAGCCAAGGAGCTCACTGGACTGTTAATGTTGCTTTTCATTAAGTCTCAGAGCACTGAAGACTTCGGTAGACTGGAAGAAAGCTAATGTTGTGCCCAGTTTTAAAAAGGGTAAATGGGTGACCTGGGCAATTATAAGCCTGTCAGCCTGACATTGACTCCAGGCAAGATAATGAAGCAGCTGATACAGGACTCGATTAATAAAGAACTAAAGGATGGCAATGTGATTAATGCAAATCAACATGGATTTATGGAAAATAGATCCTCTCAAACTATCTTAATATTTTTTTCTGATGAGATTACAAGTTTGGTTGATAAAGATAATAGTGCTGATATAATATACTTAGACTTCTGTAAGGCGTTTGACATGGTTTTACAAAAGATAGATCATGCCAGACCAATCTGATCTTGTTTTTTGAGAAGATAACTGATTTTTTAGACAAAGGAAAGGCAGTAAAACTAATCTACCCGGATTTCAGTTAGACATTTGATACAGTTCAACATGGGAACTTATAAGTTAAATTGGAGGAGATGGGGATTAATATGAGAATTGAAAGATGGATAAGAAACTGTTTAAAGGGGAGACTACAACAGTTCATACTGTAAGGTGAATTGTCAGGCTGGACGGAGGTTACTAGTGGAGTGCCTCAGGGATAGGTCTTGGGAACCTATATTATTCAATATTTTTAGTAATGACTTTGGCACAAAGAGTGGGAGTGTGCTAATAAAATTTGCGGATGGCACAAAGCTGGGAGGTATTGTCAATATGTAGGAGGACCAGAATATCATACAAGAAGATCTGGATGACCTACAAAACTGAAGTAATAGAAATGGGATGAAATTTAATAGTGCAAAGTGCAAGGTAATGCACCTACGGACTAACTAAGAATGTTTGCTATGAGCTTGGGGACTTGGAAGCAACAGAGAAGAAAGACCTGGATGTATTGGTTTATCACAGGATGACTATGAGCCACCAATGTGATGTGGCTGTGAAAAAGGTTAACGGAATCCTAGGATGCAACAGGCGAGGCATTTCCAGTAGAGACAGGGAAGTGTTAGTATCATTATACAAGCCACTGGTGAGACCTCATCTGGAATACTGAGTGCAGTTCTGGTCTTCCATGTTTAAGAAAGATGAATTCAAAGTGGAACAGGTGCAGGAACTACTAAATCTATATGTTATTAAAACTACAAATTATTTATAGAGAAAATAATGTTTTTCAGAACGA